AGGCTGACCTTGAACACAAAGCAACCTCCTGGCTCAGCCTCAACTGCTAAGTGCTAGGGCTATAGGCAGAGGCCACCACACCAGGCATTACTACTGTACTTTCGTAAATGCATGGAAACTCCTTTGATAAATAACTGCAAACACCAAACAAAAACCTAAACAACTCTTCTTGAGATCCTCTTCTCTGTGTATGTTCTTTCTTTCCCAGGCCAGCTCAGCCCAACAGCAGAGATACATGTGGAAAAGTCTCTCAACACTTGCGCTTGGCCACTGCCTTCTGTGCCTGCGTCCTTCCTGAGTCCTCAGGAAATGCCTCCTCTTTCATATCTGTCCAACAATATGCATCTTTACAAAGATATTTCTATGTTTTTTTGTGGCAGTTTTAGGAGGCAACACTTGATAGGGTGCCCTTCTTTTGTCTGGCAGTGTCCCTTCCTGCCTTCCTTTGGTATGAACAGGTTCTCTGGGGAACAAACCTTCTCTCACTCCGAGTGGAACCAGTGCTCAGGGGCCCCCTTCCTGGTCAGAGGATCTGGTCACACGCGCACTCTAGCTAAGACAATAGTAGACTTATATGGATGGACATACGACCTGAGTGGAGTCAATTAAATTCCTTTTCTCCAAACTTATTTACAGATAGTAGGAGCAAATAGGATCTGCCTGTCTGGGATACCTAGCTGAGTTGACTGAATCTGGAGCAGTCTCTGGGTCATTCTCCAGGCCAAGCTCTCTGCCAGCCTAGAGGAATCTCACATGCATTAGCCAAGAACGGGGTCAAAACTCAGAAAAACAGAGACAGCAGGAGCAAAAATGAGAGTATGAGGGAGACAAAGATTCCCTGCTTGGTCAAATTTTAGTCAGGTTTCTCAAACTTCTAGCTGTGTACCTACATTTTAGTGCAAAACTCTGCTGAGTCAGTTTAGCAAGAACCCACCAGCCTGGATGTCTGATCACGTTCATATCTGATCAGATCTCTTCTCCTCTGCAAAGATGCTCTGGTCATGTCTGATTGTCCTGGCTTGTCTTCAGCAGGAATCCTGTTAGGTCAGTTTGGCCAGAGTTCCTTTTAATTCTGAGATTTCCTTTTAGTTCTTTTCCATCCACAGACTCCCACCCTCTTCCCAGGCTATAAATTCTCACATGTTCCTGTGTTTAGAGTTGAGCCCAATCTTTTTCCCTTAATGAAATATCTTGTAGCAGTGATCCTTGTAAATACTGCAGTGGTCTTGAATAAAGTCTCCTTATAATGCTTTAACAAGTATCACTGAATAATTTTTTCTTTGACAAGAGGGACATGATAACTATAATTTAATTGCTGGACTCAGTCATTCAGACTTATTTTGAAGTCCTTAAACTTCCTTCTGTCTGAAGATAGGAATCACTATGTTGGCTTTTTAGTTTGCTTGACTTACTTTTTAATTATACTTAAAACTTCTTAGCTGGGTTCAATCCCCAGTACTGCCAAAACAAAAGTAGAGAGAGAGAGAGAGAGAGAGAGAGAGAGAGAGAGAGAGAGAGAGACTCACTCCTTCTTGATAAGCTCTTTTATCATAGTTTCTCTAACTTCCTGATGTGTTGGCACTGAACTACATCCCCAATGCTTTTTATTTTTATATTTTTATTTTAAGAAAGGATCCCACTAAGTCTCTAAATGGCCAATGCTGAGCTCAAACTTGTAATTCTCCTGCCTCAACCTCTTAAAGGGCCAGGGTTACAGTAATGTGTCATCCATCCTTGTTATCCTTCATGTTCTTGCTCATGGATATAACTCAAGATTACTACTAGCTAAATTGCATGATCTTTAATATCAATATTTTAAGAAAACAATCATTTTCGTACAGTTAAAAACATCTTCCAATACCAAGATTCCTAGGCCAAACCAAACCAAACCAAGCCAAGCCAAGCGAAGCCAAACCAAACCAAGAAGTCTATCATACACACCACAGTGGCTCACCACAAGGCACATTAATAATCTTATCATGTCTCAGGCACTTCTTATAGAATGTTCCGTGATCCTGATGTTCACACACATTCTGTATCAAGGCAGAGGCACTATGTGGAGTCTGGCAGCTGTTTAGCAGGAAGACCAGGGAGTGATGTGCCAGTATAATTCATGAGTGTCATCCCTCAGAAAGTGAGGAGGGTGGGGGTTGGGAAAGATGTCTTTCACCAGTCAATGGCATTAAAGAAAAATTGGTGCCTTTTACTGCGGGAAGGACATTAAATCTAAATATTGCTGTAAAGGGCTATTATTACTTTACAGATGAGGTCCCCTGTGTGGGGGGAGGGGAGACGAGGAGGATTCAACTCAAGACTTTTCTGCAGGGCTGAATTGAGCTATCAGCAGGAGTTCCCTTCCCTTGGTAGAGTGGTAAATCCTTACTAGAAGATTACAGCTTGTGTAATCAGGAGACCATCCGAAAAGTTACTTTACTAGCAGAGAGGATATTAAAAGAAAATTTAACACAGATCCCATTTTCTCCAAGTTCCCTTTAACAAGTGAAGGAAGGGGACATTATTTGTTTTTTTGTTGACTCTTTGGTAACCATGGAAGGGCTCCTGTAACCTAGAGAGGTTGTTTACTGCCCACTGTCTAATCCCTTTGTTATTATTCCCTCTGATTGTCAAAAGCAGGGGAAAATAGTTGTGCTGCTTCCAAAAACTGAGCAATATGGCAGTAGTTACTTGTTTTCAGTCAGTGATCTTTCTTTGATTAATGGTGTTTTGAAAAAAAAACTTGAAAACTCTATTAAAAGGTTAGGGACGCATCCTACGTCCTAAGCATTTAAAAAGACATGTACATGTGTGTACACATACACACATTTTGGGAAAGGGTGAGGGTAGGAACTTCCGGGAGATAGTTTATTCGCAATGGTTTATTTTAAAAGGTTGGGCGGGGGGGGGGGCAGAAGCATTACATAATATTATCACTTTTGGTAGGTGTGAAATACTGCATAGTTTAGAATTTTAAGTATTTGTCATACTGTGGAAATTAATTACAACTATCAAAATCAAGAATGCACAGGATACCAGTGCTTTTGCTATGCACTTTGTGTCTGAATTTATCCCAACAAGGGCATCTGCATTTTTTCAGTTCCGCAAAGACAAGCACAGGAGGTTGAGGGGGCCAAATGACTGTGGCGCATGTGGACTTATTGTGATACTTTTATTTTTTTTCTCTCCTTTTTGGCGTTTCTAGTCCCCATGCAGATGACCAGCAAAACAAATCTCTAAAAAGTACTTGTCTCAACAACAGAAAATAATTTGGAGCTGGAGAATTTATTTATTTATTTATTTATTTTACTGGAAATTGAACCCAAGACTTCAGAGCATACTCAACAGCACATTCGAGCCCTACTTAACTTCTTGTAAAATGGGTTTTGTGTGTGTCCATGTCTAAAAAAAAGAACGTAAAGTCAAATTTGGGGCCCTTTCTATGGAGCCAAAGGATTTTATATATTTTTTCTCAACTAATTTCTTTCTAGTACTCTGGCAGGAAGAATTCACGTGGAGATTCTGGTGGCTTTTTTCCTGTTGCTGAAAGTCCAGAATTGCTTTCAGGATAAAGTTTCTTCTAGTCCATGGTGCTTTGCTGGGACATTGTAATTGCTTCTGTGGAATTGAATAATACAAATGGGTTGTTTCTATGGTATCGGCTAAGTGGGATGAAAAGGTGAAACCCTAGATTCTGCGCAGAGGTCGCAGCCCCCCGCCCCCCGCACGAAGTGTCTGTCAAAGCGGGAGGGCAGTTAGGCCCGGCAGTGCGTCTCAGGCACTTATTTGTAACTTCCAGAGAAAATTCACGCAGAAAACAAAAGCAAACGACTTAGAGCTGTCACTGTGTTCATAAAATTTCTGCCAAGCCCATCCCAGCCAGCTTTCCCAAGTCCTCTTATTGGAGGAGAATTTTAAATCGAAAGGTGAGTGAAGAGTAGCGTCCCCAGCCCCTCCCAGCTAGGCTTTGAACTAACAATAGGGCAGGTTGAATGAAGGCTGATAAACGCAAATCCTGGAATTGCAAAGCCGGATCACACCGCAGCAGCCTAAGCCAGCGGCGATCAGCGTTCCAGCTTTTATCTGTCCCCAGCTGGTAGCACGGAGTCGGAGCGCTCAGAAGATTTCATCGACTTTTGCACGCTTGCTCCGTGTAAGCTTTTCTCCGCCACGTAGCCTCTTACTCACCTCAAGCAGGCTGGCTGCTCCGGACTGCCTGCTACTAAACTGATCTTAAGAATCGGCCTGAGAATGCCAAGGAGCGGAGCGGCATTTGGAAAGAGAGACAGGAGGATAAACTTACAGCCCCTCAATTTTAGCTGTTCCCCCCCCCCCCAAAAGAGAGTGCCTTGTTTTAGTAGCACTAACACACTATTTTCTGAGAATGGCAAAGAAAAACAACAACAACAACAACAACAACAACAACAACAAAACAAAAATAAAAGCAAAAATCCGGATGGGGAGATAAACTGTGTGGTTCGGATTTTTTTTTTTTTTTTAATTGTGGTTCTCACACTTCGACGAGGGCTGCGCCCTTCACCTCCAACTTTATTTCTGCGGGTCATTCACCTCCCTCCCACCGCCCAGGCTCGCCAGCCTGAGGCCCCCAACCATCACCGAGGGGCTGTCCTTGGCTCGGGGGGTGGGGTGGAGAGCACACTTCAGTCCTAGAGCTTCGGGTGCCCTGGCACCCGGAAGCCCGCAGGAGAGTGTGGGCCAAGGGGGTCTAGGTCCACCTAGCCCGCGGCGACTGCAGTCCGCTCCCCCAGGCTCCAGTTCTGATTTCCTTGGGAGCTGTGGGCCCTGCAGGGAGGGGGCTCCAGGGTGAGCGTGAGGATTTGAATGAGAAAGCAGGTTGTGGCGGAGGCTCTGCCCAGCTCCGCTCGGGGTCCTGCGGACTGCTGAGGAGAAGCGTCCGCCCGGGAAGAAGCGTCCGCCCGGGTGGCCACTGCTGGCTCTCGGCAGGGGTTTGGAGTCGGAATCACAGGGACAAATAACTCAAAGCTCTGCACCTGGGAGGCTGCGCCTGTGCCCAGGACTTCGAAGATTCCGGCATCTGGTGAAGACTCCGGGCTGAGGTTGGTGCTTTTGGGGACAGAGGGTAGAAGGGGAAGCAGGGGTTGTGCAAGGAACAGAAGAGTGCTCCGCGAGCCGGTGAGCAGGTGGCTCGGGTCCGCTTTCGGGAGTCCCAGTGGGGGCGCGCACGGACCGCGGGAGCAGTGGGTGCGGGAATCTGCCGGCCCGCGAGAGACTGGACCTCGGCCGCCCTCGGGGTCCTGGGACCCGGATTGGTGCCTGACCAAGAGCTGAACTCGCGTCCCACACAGTCGCGGTGAGGTCCCACCTAGGGAGGTCTGCCACGCCTCGGGATGCTTCGCGCCCAGCAGGGGTCCTGGACCCCGCTCCGACCGCCTGGCGCTGCGCAGAGCAGGTCCGCGCTTCGCGATCGAGGCGAGCGCTGTATCCATTACACGTGGGGAGTCGTAGGTGACCAGTGACCCCGCTCAGAACCCTCGCATGGACGAGTTTGTGCTCGGCAAGGAGGATTTGCTCCATTGCCCCTTCCTGGGATCAACGAGGGGCACCAAGCGACGCGGGGCGGTGCCAGTAGCCGGTGCGAGCAAGCCCTGGCCGCGGCGGTGCGCTCTGCGCCTGCGCAGGTTCCCATGGCGACGGCGCGAAGGGTCCGCGACGCCAAGCGCGCGCTGGGGCCGGGGCTCCCCTTGGACTCCCGCGGTGCCCCCTTGTCCCTGGGACGCTTAGGTTTTGTTTGTACCTTGAAATCGACTTACGATGTCTTTTTGCGTTAGAAGTTTAACACTAAAATAAGATCATTTGATGAAAATAGTAAAATTAAACCTTTCCCCTTTATTTTATTACGGACCCCCCCCCCCAAAAAAAAAGCGAGAATTTACCTGTTGGGTCAGTAATTTAGATTCCCCGTTTTCTTTCCTATAAAAGTGCAAACAAAAACAACGTTTACTTCCTGTTGTAGAGTGTTTAAATATAAACACAGCCAGGGGATTGGCCCCGAGCGACGGTAACGTTAAGCAGACAGACCTGTGCCTCCTTTCTGGAGGTGCAGTGGGGGGCGGGTAGCGCCCTGTAGGGCCCGCGCCCTCTGGACACTGGCAGCGTCCTGCGTCCCTGCGACCGCGGCGAAGCACGCCTGCACAGAAACGCAGGCTTGCCACCAAGAGGCGTTGCTTTTCCAGCTGTCGCTATGTTTGGTCATTTCTGACCTTAAACTGTTCTGTAGAAGGTGAATGTTTCCTTTCAGAAGCCGGGCAGTAGACCTGTTGTCTTAAGTATTTTTATTTTCTTAAATCTTGAGTCTTAGTCAGGCTTGTTGGCTCATGTCTGTAATCAATCCCAGCACCCTGGAGGCTGAGGCAGAAGGATCATTGCGAGTTCGGGACCAGCCTACAAGGTGAGCGCAAGTCCAGCCTGACCTGCATATGGAGACTCTGCCTCAACAAAACAAAACAACCCCTTGAGTCTCGACAGGCCCATCCCCTCTTTTAAATTTAATTTGTTTGCACACAAGCTGGCGTTTGGCAAGAGTACACATTTTAAGGAGTATGTTATTTGGTGGCATTTGTAGCATGTTGTCGCTTAGTTTTTTAAAGACTGAATCAATATTTGGCAGAGTGATTGAGATCTAGTTACAATTAAATAAACGTTTGGTAGAATTGCTAGTAAAAGTTTAAAATGAAATTACTTTTCCCAGAACAAAGTGTCGCATAAAATACCTTGGACAAAAGGATAGTCTATATCTTTTAAGCAATTTACTTTCCAGACTATCAAGTATTAACTAGTGATAGAAAGTTGAAGATAATAGCCTTCTACCATCACCAAATGAAATCAACATACTACTTTTCAAATGATTAGCAAATGAAATGCTGCTAAAGTTCTTTTTCTCATTCTTTTTGTTATAAATGCCTAGACGTTGTGCGGTTTATCGTCCTCAAATAATAATGCTCACTCACGTTTTTCCTTTTTCTATTAAATAATGGAAACACTTAATTGTCAGGTTCAGGTTCTTTGTGACTATTTGGTGGCTTGTACCAGACTCGGATTCCCTTATTCTCAGTGACACGTGTTCCTGCAGGTTTGAGGCGGTAAAGTGCAATTTTAGCAGATCATGGGGTGATAAGATTGGGAGTGCTTGGGGGAGTCTGGGAGAGGCCTTGGGATGGAGAAAAGAGAGGGAAGGTTGGTGGGCAGAGTCAGGATTTATATTAAAATCCGTTCAAAGTTATTGCTTCTGCTTGGTACATTTTCCTATATCATCAATTTCTTCAGTTTTTTTTTTTTTTTTTTTGTACTGAGAATTGAACTCAGGACCTTGTACTAGCCAGACAGGTGCTTGTGCTGCTGAGCTATATCCCTGGCACTGCATCATCAATTTCAATTGAATTTCTTCTTTATAACAGTCTTCTGCACACTTACAGGGATAGAACTGTAAAAGTAGACTGCGATAAAGGTGCTTCTTGGTAGGGCGCCATAACATAAAACACAGTGAAAATTCTTAATGAAGTGTTTTATGTTTATTTTATTTATTCTTCCACAAATATTTATTGAGTTGAGTTCTGTAGTAATTCTAATGCCACTTTGGTTTTCTAGGTGAAGATACTACTTTTAGGACTCTAAAAAGAATACTTGGTGCTGATCACACTTCTAGATTCAAAACAAATGCTTAATCTTTAATTAAAAACATTGTTTTAGCACCTTAACTATATATATATATATATATATATATATATATATATATATATATATACACACACGTTAAGAAACATAAGCACCTGTCTGCTTGCATTCTTGTAAGACTTGGCCCTAAAACTTGCACTCTTACAAAGTGCAGCCCTCGATTTAGGAGGAACATGGAAGCCTTCTTCTCAGGTTCTTAGATGAGGATAAGGTGAGTGATTCAGCGGTCCTTTGTTCTGGCTCCATGCTTCATGACATAATGAACCTCCTGCCAGCCTCCTTCAAAGAATAGTGTTGGTCTGCATGCCTGAAGGATCATGACTATTATTTTTCTCTGAGGGAAAGGGGGGGGTACAAATTATAGAAGGACAAATGGAACACAATAGAATATTTAAGCTTTTTAACTTTTGAGCTTGAATAATTTCTAGGCATTTTTAATGAGTTTAAGCTCTATTGAAATCTAGTACTGCCATGACAAACCTCTGGCAAAATATTGACCAGGGTTGACAACACTTCTCATTTTTAGGACATAGATGCTTAGGGAGACTCTGGTCTTTTTCTTCTTTTTAAGCACTTCATGAGTCTAATAATAATAATTATAAGCTAAGAGAAGCTTGCTGAGGAGCACCCTCCTTTGGTTATTGCTCTTTGTTTAGGAAAATCAGACTGGGCTGTGAAATGCGAACCAAGTGGTGCAGAACTCATTACTCTAAACAATGCCTGCTCAGCCTGGGAAGCATGTTCCTCCTCTCACTAGCAGGGGCTTATCCCAGGCTGGCTTTAGTCACAAGGAAAATCATTTAGACACAGTTCAGTGGACACTTGCTCACATCTCTTTGACACCCATGACCATTTTTGTTTAAGGAGAAATCTAGTATTGCTGTGATAGGGTGTGCCAAATTGGAGGCGCGTTTTAAGAAACCCATGAAGTTTACACAGCTTTATGTTGTTACCGTCAAGGTTCCTGTCTCCTGTGCTTCAAAGTGGAAGAGGACAGGATAAGGCAGAAGAAACAATCAGGCAAGCTTTTATAGCAAAGATAAAGTGTTTATTTTATTTTATTTTTTTGGGTGGAACTGGAGATTGAACTCAGACTCTTGTGCTTGCCTGGGAAGTGCTTATTCCACTGAGCCATCTCCCCGGCCCCTATTTTATTTTTTTTACTGACTCTAAATTTTGGATCACTAAACAAAGTCTCTATATCTTATTGTCATTAACTTATAGAAAAAAGATGACTGCCATATATATAGTTATATAGATCAGGAAACCAGGGCCTAAAGTTCCTAGGTGATTTTTTTAGGCACATAGTTGTTAGATGGCACAACTGGGAAGAAAATACAGTTACTGCTTTCTAGGGATCTTGCTGTCAGGAAATTTAGAGAGCAGACACCAAATCCTTGCTTTAGACTTGCTGTTTGCAGTCATATGAAAGTGTTGTGGTTGTAGATGTGAAATGGTGAAGCGTTGGCAATTTCAGATGGTTTTTACCTAATACTGAATAGAGTTGGCCATGTGCTGTGCACCGTGTGATGCTATATTTGCTATAAATGTGTGCATCATGAGAATGCATATGATACGCGTATATAAAAAGGGCCATTTTTCAACCTACACAGACCTCCCCCCACATATTTTGGCCTGAGGAATTTTGGGATGATGATTTTAATAGAAAGGGCTGGTTTTTCCAGTAGTTTCCCCCATAGGTATCTTAAACAAAGATTTTGGAAGAAAGGGGCAAATGAACATAAAATGCTCTTAACATGTGAGTGGGCACTAGCTATGTCTCTTTGGAACCCACAACGCTGTCTTGCTGATGAGGCTCGGAGAAGGAAGTTTTTTTTGCAAAAGCGCTAAGTGAATATGGGACAGACTGGAAATTTGGATCTGTGTATATATGTTCTGCATGTTTCATTACATCGTGTTGCCATGCGGAATTATAAGATTAAATTTATGAAAAACAGTGGGTTGCTTTGATTTCCAAATTCCCAACTGCACCTCAAGTACAGACGGGCAGAAGTTCTTCTGATCAGCTTTTTGGTGCGTGGAAAGGTTGCTTCCCTGTATGGAGGTTAGGAGGTTATAAACTCAGCTCTGGCTCCAGAAAAACATTCGAGACTTTGTTTATAAAGTGTGTTGGGTATTTGTTTAGAATTGAGTAGTGTTTAGGTTCTGTTCTTTAGAGGGCTTGCCACATCAAAGTGACCCACTTATCACTTCTGGATTGTTGTCAGTTTACTGTGGATCTGAGAAAAACCTTGATGTTAATGTGTGTTCTCTGGCATCTCAAGACTTAGATACTGGTTTTATCCTTTATCACTTGTCTTTTTTTTTTTGGAAATAGTATTGAGAAATTTATTGCTGGGATGAA